TACATTTCCAGCCTCGGTAATTCTACGCACTTATAAGACACATTTTACGTATAAATTTCCTTGTACATTTCCCCTTTACACTTGTGAAAGAAGAATGATAGAAATATTTCTAACACACCCGTATATGTATTTGCGTCGGGGACTGCCCGATGCGAAGAGTGGCCACCGTGCAGCGTTGCCAGATTATTTGTCAGAAGAGCGCTTCAAAACTGTACGCAGTGGAGTAGCAGGAACTGATGCATTTAGAAGGGGCGCAATGGTGTTCCCAGAATTCCTTTTTTTTAGGAGCGGGTTGTATAGATTTGTGAACAAGACCGGAACGATCGGGATTCATCACATGCAGACTGGATTGAGATGCTTGTAGCTAAATTTTTGTGCAGACGGATTAAATTATTCCTTACATAATCCTGATGAACTGATGACAGCGTTGACTGGCAAGTACATGGCATGCACATAATCAAAAACCGTGTCGCTCATTTTTCTATGGTATATCGGTAATATCGTACAGACAAATAATCTGTTTGTCTGTTCGCCTGCTAATGTTTAACGCCTCTACAACTTGGAAATCACGGCTTGGATTTTGACAAAAGATTACTACTATGCCGATGACAAAACACCTTTATAGATTTTAAAAATCGATCCAGTGGTGCCAGAGATACAAACAAAGAAGAAAGAAATCGCTAAAGGTTTCTTCTTTGACAATTTAGAGGCTACTTTCAGAAAAAATGGGTGTTGGGGGTCGCACATCTCAATTTTTTGGCATTAGTATATTCTCTTTCGACCCCGGTAGTGCTACGGATCTGACCGATCGGTGACTGGCGAATTACGAGTGGCGAGTTTAGTCATGATAACGTTGTTAAATGCACTTAGTGTACGGAACGTCTCCACTGACTTGGTCCATTTATTATTTTTTTGATGTATATTATGTTCGTAGCTATTTTTTTTTCAAACTTGTCTGAAAATAATCTTTTACCGACTGGTGGCAGCGTTGCGTGGGAAGTGCAGAGTCAAAGTACTTGACGCCAATCTTTTATTATATCTTACGATCAGATTTCCTTTGAACCATTTATACCGATACTTCGTAATTCTTTAATGTATGGCAAAACTTTGACGTATAATAAAAAAGTTACCCAGCATAATTTGTATCTCATTTACCTTAAACGATGTAATTCCGTTGTAAAAGCCTTGATACAATTTTTAATGAAATTCAAGGCTGACTTCTATCTCACTTCAAGATATCTATCGTTATTAACCAATAAATTCATAACGTTGCGTAGACTCATAGTAAATGAGATTGAAAAAAGCGACATTCATGTGACGTAAAGCTGGAAGTGATCAACTGACCTTTTCAGAATTTGGTGGTTAGCGATTAGGATTGATTGGGGGTGTCTCTAGAGATAAATATTGGGGAGTCATTCAATTTGTGATGGCATCCCTTGATGTTTTAAGCAGATAGAGGGAAGTAAAGATAATGAAACTGTGGTGTCCCTTCGCGAAGAATCAAGCCGATTGCGGCTGCCAACATGAGCGCGCAGTGGAAAAGTTGAAAGGATAAAGCTGAAATCGCGACACGCTTATAGTGACATGATAACATGGAAGATGAGTATGACATCAAGGGATAAAAAAAGATTCCAGGTAATGATATAAGCTAATACGATAAAAATATGGGTTGACTCTTCACTTCCCACGCAATTCTGGACAAATTAACTTTGAGTTATACATCATATATAGTTTCTGAGTCAACCTTCATCCGTTCTGGCCGGCTATGAAAATCTGTATACCTTGACATAAGACGTAATGAATATCAGTGAAAAAAGTTGATATGGAAAAAAGTTAAATTGTAGACTTTTTTACCCTAATTTTTTACTTCATAGAAATTTTCAAAAATGATCAGGAGTCCCTGGAACCTCAAAAAACAAAATTCAAACGATTCATATTTTCAAAAACTACAAACCTTTTTCGCCCTTGGAATAGAAGTAACCTTATGTGAAAATTTCATCAGCATTACTATCCATGTTTTTGACAGGTCAAGGATCAGCGTACAGACAGACCGACAGACGGAAATGCGTAACAAGGTTTTTCGTGAGGTGGATGCCATAAGGCATCCAAAAAACGTAGTATCTCTATCGAATTTTTACAGTTCTTCCTCGGTGGTGACTATGAAGGGAAAAGATCCAGATATGTAATAAATTAAGGAACATTCCGTTTGAGAAATGTTTTTTGCAAACTCTCCAACATTTTGCCACAGATACGGGAAGACCACTTTAAAAGAAAATTGATATAATATACTATATAAGCGTTTTGATGATTAGTTGTCGAGTTATAGGCGACTCAATGTACAAAAACGCTCAGTCTTGCCAGTCTGCTAGTCTGCCATCTTGAAAGGTGCTGATTGTACGAGGGGGTACCCAAAAATAAATCGGAATTATTTTTTAAAAACTATTTATTTTCAACTTTTCCACAAACCTTATCTCCTTCAAAATACTGTCCACTACAACTAATACACTTGTCCCACCGGTGCTTCCACTGCCTGAAACAATTTTTGAAGTCTTCCTTAGAAATGTCTGTCAGCTCGTTTTTTTCTTGAGGCAGGCGAATAAGGTGTGTGAGGCAGCGGAACCATGCCATTTTTAGCCAGAAACTGTCGAACAGCGATAGCTGTGTGCGCAGATGCATTATCGTGGTGGAAGAACCAGTCCCCTGACTGTCACGTATCGGGTCTTTTTTGCCGAATACTGTTTCGAAATCGCCTCAAACCCTCCAAATAAAAGGGCTGATTAACAGTGTGACCTGGGGGAACAAACTCGGAATGGAGGACGCTTTTGACATCAAAAAAAAAAAAACAAATCAGCATTGTTTTGATGTTTGATATGACTTGACGACATTTTTTTGGACGGGGTGACGATGGCGTCTTTCATTGACTTGAGTGTTGCTTCGTTTCTGGGTCATAATCGAAGTACCAAGTCCAAGTACCAACAGTGATGACCTTTGACAGAAAATTTGAATAGGATTCAAGCTGTTGTTTCAAAGTACGATATTTTTCAACTCGGTATTCTTTTTGATTGTCAGTCAAAGCCCGAGGAGCAGACTTGGCAGCAACCCTTTTCATTTCCAAATCTTCTGTTAAAATTCGCTGAACCGAACTCCAGGACAACCCACTACTTACGGATAGTTGATCGATTGTCAGTCTGCAAGCAAAAGCTCTCGAGTTTTTTCAACATTTTCGTCGATTCGGGCAGTTGATGGACGTCCAGAGCGACGTTTGTCATCAGTCGACATGTCGCCATTTTTAAATCGAGCAAAACACTCGTACACCTGAGTTTTTTCCATAGCATCATCTTTGTAAGCTATTTTCAACATTAAAACAGTTTCAGCAGCATTTTTACCAATTAGCGAGCAAAATTTCACAGCTGCACGTTGCTCCCTGAAGTTTGCCATCGTAACAGCTGTAGTACAAATAATGACTACAGAGGAATGAAACAATCCAGATCGACAACTCAGGTGGCACTAAATTGGTAATGAGTTGCGCTGTACTACACAAGCTCCGCCCACTGCAATGCTATTCCGGTTTTTTTTTTCGGTACCTCCTCGTATATTCTACGGTCATAAAATACGGGTATCAAGCTTGAACATGAAGTATCACTTGGACCCCCATTCTATTTAAAAAACATTTCCCAGGATTACGCTAAAATATAGTCATTAATTATCAGTTTCATCTCCTCGTATTTCAGATGAGACTCATGTCGTTGCTTTTGATGTCACGGAAGCATCCCATAGATCTCTGGCTGCAGGATATCCATTGCAATTGATTGGTTCTCCTATTTAGTCCACAATGTGATATGCGAGTGTCCTCAGGGATCGGTCTTGGCTAGGACATAGTTCCTTTTACATATCAAGGACCTGTTTCCATGTACGATTAATCCAATCCACAGCTTTGCTGATGACAGCACTCTACATGCACGAATTCAAAGTGACAATCCGCTCTCTGCCGGTACGCTAGAGCAGAGTTCCCCAAACTTTTTTGTGTCGTAGACCCCTTGCAATGTTTTTCCATGTTGGGTAGACCCATATCGATTTCCTGTAAATTTCTAACTGTAGTGAAGTTTAGTGTTAAAAACTTAAAGTAAAAACACATGTTGATTTACACATTTATTAATTGAATTTAAATTAAAACTACTCAAATTAAAATTTTGTATCTGTTATGTAAAATATACGTAACATTAAATAAACAGGTGTCTGACCAATAAGTGCCCGCATTGGGATTAAGTGCCCGCATTGAAAAAAAAATAAGAGGGATAAAATAAAAAAAAAAAGTGAAAAATAATAAAAAAAAAGTTTTTTACAATAGTACAATAAGCAAGTTCGTTTATTAATTATAACATAAACGTATGTTCTACAATAATTTCACTGTTAGTTTGATTAAATCCCGCTTCTTATACGTTTAAGTTATCTAAAAATAGGCAAAAAATTAACGAATATTAGTGTGTACCTACCCTTGAATTTTCAGAATAATTTTTAAAAAAAATATTTTCTATAAAGGGGGGTTCTTTAAAAAACTCAATTCGGGCACTTATTCCTAATGCGGACATTTATTGGTCAGATACCAATAAACATAAAATAAACTATAAATAAAATAACATAAGCAATTGGTCAATATTTTTAGTGAGAAGGATGAACCTGATGCTTTAATAGTAAATTATCAACATTTGGCGTCAATTTTGTAAGGGTTAATCTTAAATCTCCTCGGCTAATGATGTCCAGCCTGTTTCTTTTTTTCGTTAGGAGATTGGTAACAGCGCTGAACCCCCTTTCCACTAGGTATGACGATGGAAAGGAAATTAAAAATTTCCTCGCTATACTCCATAATACGGGATAAGTAAGTATGTTGTTTTGCAGCCAGAATTGCTGATTTCCGTTTTTAAACTGAACCTTAAGTTCTTCGTTTGTACTTAGTTCAGACAGTTCCTCTTGTATTATGAGATTCGTTTCTTCTATGTCACCATATGGATTAATTATCCACGGTGGTATTACCATAGTCAAAATATCCTCAAACCTAGATTCAAAATATGAATAGAGGGCATTTAAATGTTGAACGTAAGTTGAAACGTCGTCTTCCTGGCAGCTTGTCTGTGACAAATTGGGGAACTGAGAAAATTCGCCCCGTCCAATATTTTGCTTCATTAGTTTAACTCTGGCAAGAAACGCTGATAAGATGGACTTTGCTTTAATCAAATTTAAACTGTCGCCTTGTAATTGCAAATTAACCATATTAAATTTTGTAAACAAATCTGTTAAATAGGCGATGTCTGTTTTCCTCTTCATTAAATTTTCTTTTAAAATTTTATCTTTAGTATCCAGAAATTCTAAAATAGTCTCAAAAAGTGCAAAAAATCTTGTCAAACATAAGCCTTTCGACAGCCAGCGTACTTAAGTGTGAAGGAGTAATTGATGAAAGTGTTCGTCATTTTCTTCACACAACTGCGCAAATAACCGCGTATTCAACGCGTTGCTTCGGATTCGGTTTACTGCATCAATGACTAAATGAAGTGATTCATGCAATCTAACACTCAAATTTTTAGCAACTAAATGTTGTCGATGGATGACGCAATGTATTACTAACACCCCTGACACATTTTGTTTTAAATAGCTTATAAATCCACGATAACATCCAACCATGGCAGATGCTCCATCTGTAGCGACTAATATTATATTTGATAAAGGAATTGCTTTTTCAATGAAGTAATCCTTCAAAACATGAAATATTGATTCACCTTTAGTGTCGATTATCAAAGTTCTTGCGAAGAGCAGTTCTTCGTAGATTTCTTGATTCGTAATAAAACGAACATATGCCAATAATAATGCTGCATTATCAGGTAAAGTTGACTCGTCCAGTTGTATAGAGAAATGGGTCGTTTGCAAATAATTACATAAGAAGCTTTCAATATCAGAACTCATTTCATCAATACGTCTTTCAACAGTATTCTTGCTTAAGGGAATTCTTTTAATGATATCAGATGCAGGTTTGTGTGTGTGTTTGCGGTTTTCCGGATTTTGCTATAAGTAACGAGCTATTGTAAGACGCCCGCAAACCATCATCATTTCTTTGTGACGTCGAAGCGAACATTCTGTCCAGTGTAGGTCTCTTCTGAAATTTATCTTTGAGTGTTTGAAAGTATTTCAAATCTTTCTCTGTTTTATCAGGGTGGCATCTTCTCAGATGGTCTTGCTGTTTAGATGGTTTCATAGCGTCATTGCCCAAAACTTTGTTGCATAAAAGGCACATAGGCGATTGTTTGTCCGGCAATGATGGAATGAAGCCAAATTTCAAATAATCAACACTGTACTGTCTACATTTCTGTTTAGATTCGGACATGGCATCAGTCATCTGTGGGCAAAATTAAATTATTTAAATAAGACAGAAAATCCAGCAGCTGTATATTAAAAATATTTGTTGATTTTTCCGAAAACATTCCATAATTCGAACAACAATTAGCTCGAATTACAGAGATTGCACTGTAATTATATTACCGATTGCTAAAACTTTCAAAAAGAAACTATTGAGGAGTACTCGTGTAATTTTGCATGATTGAATATTTAACTACTAATAACTAAAGTCATGATTGGCGTAATTTATCTATCTTTGCTAACTACGAGTACAAAACTAAAATTTAATAAAAAATAATGTACTTACTTTTCTCCAGCACTCTCAAACAGAATAACACTGAGTCACTATAATTTGTGTGATATACTATCTGTTTATATTTTTTAAAATATTTTCTTAGCACTTTCCTTTTCAAGATTCAGGAAACGAATATACGTATTTGTCCCACATTCGTATCTATAGAGTGACGAATTGAACAAGTCAGTGCAAGGTAGCGAAGCTCTGTGACTGCGACTCTCAGGTTTTTACAAGTTCAAAATGTATTGCGACCACAAATCGAATACCAACATCCTACAACTTACACAATTTTATAAACATATATAATACATTTTTTACTTCATAGGTACTTTTATAAATAATGTACATGTTTTGATATTATAAGATAGTATGATGTAAGTAAATAGGTACTATCAGTGTATGTGTTGAGATCCACTATCGTGGACCCCCATATTCATTTCATGGACCCCCAAATTTTTTTTCGCTGACGTAGACCCCTTGCAGGTTGTCATAGACCCCTAGAGGTCGATATAGACCACATTGGGAATCAATTCGATAGAGAAAAGAAGACTAGCAGCGACTTTCTTTCTGACGCAAGATCTGCAGGTTATCACTGTTATCAGTGCTTGGGGACGCAACAATCGTGTACAGCTTAATGCTTTCAAGGCACAGTACTGTACCTTGACTAACAAGAAGTGCCCTAGCGATCATTTATTCTCGATGGGCGCCGAGATCTACCAAAGAGCTGTTCATTTTGGCTAGTCAAAGTCCATATCACCGAGGTTTTGATCTGGTACGAACACTCCTCGACAATAGACTACATTATCCATGTTCGATAATGTTTAGAGGAGCTTCTTCTATCGCTATATCAACGGGCCTTGCTCCTCGTGCTGACGCCATGCGCCTGCCAAACAGACTGGCCTGACTTCGGCCAATCATCCTAGCCGTGTCAAACTTCATGCGTCCAAAACTGACCGATACGACTGCTCCTTTGTTCTTAGGCTATCGAGATTGCAAACTGTGGAGGATTTTCCCAGTTCTCCTAACCTTAGCTGAGGTGCTCTGGTATTTAGGTGTCTGCCTTCGCTGCTACATTGGTATAAAAAATAGCTAGCTTACTTGTTCAAAAAATAAAGTGAGAGGGGCTCCTTGGAAAGCGCTGTATAGTGTGATAGAATTTGTAAATGTTTGTTACTTACTGCTCCACTAACAAATCTTCGATACGTTTTGACTCCATATGGCTGTTATCAACAATCTCTTCAAACCACTTTAAAAGATTCTTCATAATTTGAACTGCAATACTTCACCTGGTTGGGGAATGGTGTTAATGATATGGGAAACCTATGGACGTATCATTTTAGCAAAACTTAGTCGTTACTTGCATCCAAGAACTGATGGGGGTATCACTTCACTATTTACATTATTATTCTCTGAGGGCCATTTTTAAAGTTAGGATTAATTGAGCATGATGCTCGCGCAACCCGTTACGTGATGTTCGTTCAACCTCAGACACTCATGGCCAGTCTTTCACTACGCTGCCATTAATTTTCTCTGTCCGGGCTGGTTGCGCATTTATGCTGGATTGTTTGTCGTCATGTCGCTCAGTAAACCAGTGGACTCTGAAGTGCGCTCAGTAATTCGTTTTTTAAACGCAAAAAAGTTCGTTGCGATATAAATGCTAAGATGTGCTGTGGAAACACAGCAATAATTCCTAACTCCAAATAAACACAAAAAAACAGAATATTAATTTGTTTAATTTTCCAATATTATTTTAAACAAATTAAATTAATTATTTACAACTAAAATGCTATTGGATAGTTAGTACAAACATACAAAATCTAAAGTAGTTGCTCGAAATGTAAACCCAATTGTTCAATACACAATTCACATCTACGAATGATCGAACCTGGTATAGCATTATTCAAATAAGGCCTTATTTTATCACATGCATCTCTGATTCTGTCTATTAGCATATCCCTTGTGGTTACGGGAGTCTGGTACACTTTTTCTTTTAGAAATCCCCACACAAAGAAATCTAATGGATTTAGGTCAGGGGATCGTGGAGGCCAGGCGGCTGGTCCTCCACGGCCGATCCATCTTTCTGGATAATTTTCGTCCAGCCAGTTTCTAACTATTCTCGAATAATGAGCTGGACAACCATCAAGCTGGAACGAGGCCAATCTTCTTAAATCTAACATAACATCATCCCACATATTTGCATGTTCAGCCTTTAAAAATTCCAAGAAGGTCGCAGCGTTTAACCTTGCAGGCAAAAGGTAGGGTCCAGATAGTCGATCATGGTAGATACCAATCCACACGTTCACACTAAATTCATACTGAAACTTTCTTTCCCGAACTGCATGCGGATTTTCATGCGACCAAATATGTTGATTATGAAAATTTACCACTCCGCGTCTAGTGAAGCATGACCCATCGGTCCATAAAACGTTACTTAAAAACTCCCTATTATTATCAGTTCTATCAAGAATCCACTGACAAAATGTGATTCTTCGTTCTCCGTCCCCTGGCTGTAGTGTAGTCCTTGCACAGGTTGCAAATGGTAAGGTCGTCTATGGTCAATTCTAAGAACACGGTGAACATGGCTTGCTGAAATTCCCAAGGCACCAGAAACTCTATTAACACTTGTGGTCGGATCTCTATCAAACTCACGCAGAATTATACGGGTAAATCTGCGCTGACGAACATTTATGTTTTGATCCCTTTGGAGATTTCCAAAACCATTTTCAATTATTTGGCGATGCACTCTTTCAAATACTGAGCGAGTTGGATGTCGTCTTGGAAATCTTCGTGCGTATTCTCTGGCTGCTTCTGCTGCGTTTCCATTTACAAAGCCATACACAAAATGGATATCCGCTAACTCTTGATTGGAGAATAGAAATGGCGTTTTTTTATAAAACTTACAAAAAAAACAGGTAAAAGAAACTAAATTTCGTGCATTCACAATTGCAAAAAAACGTTCCAGGTTTCAACAGACAACAAAACTAACTGTCAACTAGTTGACATTTAACCTTATTCTGCTTTCAATTTCAAAAATATTTGCAGGCACAGCTTACTTCTAAAAATTTTCGGGATACTGACTTTTTAACGTTATTTTATCATGAATAATTAAAAATGCATCGAACCTTAAAAATCGAAATATATCAAAAACGGTTAAGTATAACGAAAATTCACAAGAGAGCTTTTTTATGTTGAAAAGTGCGAAGAATCAGTTTTTTTATTCAAAAAGCAAAAAAAATGCACTAAGAAAAAATGTTCGGTCATTTTAATACACTACAGGTACAGTAGAGAGAGCCCTCTAGCGGCTACAGTAAAACTATGCCCATGGTTCGTTTTGTCGTACCAAAAAACTCTTGTATACCAATTTTCACTGTTATACATCAAATATTGTTCGAAATATTTAAAAAAAAAACTATTTTAGAAAGTAAATTTAAACACCCACGCATTTTTCGACCATGTTTATATAGACTTTATGCATTAATTTTAAAAGTTCTATCGAATCTTAAAGTTACGCAACAATAAACTGAAACACCCTGTATAACAAAAAATAGGAAAATAGTGGGCAAAATTCCCAAAAAGAAGGAAAGTGGAT